GGGTTGGGAATCGAAAATCGATTCCGATTCCAGAATCGGATACTTAAAGGTCCCCTGAAATGCTTAGAAACACGCAGCGTTACTCTATGTGTTGAGCCTGTTTTCAGTTTTTTAACTGAAACAGGAAGACAGGGCGGGACATATCAAGCAGCTTATATCTTCTAAATGCGAATTTTGCGAAGTTTTGGAGCACACTGCCTTATAGATAACCTTAAGACTAACATATTGATACGAACACCCAAAAAACTTTAATTTGGATTTCATGGGGACTTTAAGGTCAGGAATCGGATACTTTTTTAAATTTTTTTATTTCAATTCCGCCTATCGATTCCTTAGCGCTTTTTTTCTTTATCTGTGAGGACCAGACCTAGCAATCTGCCAGGACCTTGCTCGCTAATCTAAGCGCTCCAAAGTGTGGCTACATTTGCGATCAGAATCCAAAAAAGCTAAGTATACAATGATTCGTCTGTTTCATTCCTCAACCTTTGACGTGTGCGATCAATGTTGTGATCACTTGGTTCGTCCCTGCAGCGTACGATCATACCAGTGTGATTTGAACATTTAAATCTGCGTTCGCGCTGCCATTGACCTAAAGAAAGCAGCTGTCATCTGTGTCATCATTTTCATGAATGAAACAGCTTCACAGTCTTTTTAGCCACACAGTATCATTATTTCTGTGTTACAAACATTCAAATCACAGAAGTACTGGGATAAAAGTTTATAGTTCAGATTTAATCATTAATTCATAAATTACATGTGATTTTGTTTAGTTGTTTAATGTTTTTTCTTCAGAATCATTAGAGAACCACAACTTCCATTGGGGAAAAAAAAACTCAATTTATCACGCAGTTCTGTTTTGCACACAAACAGCTCTTAAAGAGTCCAGCTTTTATGTAGCCTGTTGATTTTTGTTCATGGTATTCAGCTCCAATAAATGGTTTGCAAAAAAGAGACACAGAATAAATGTTTGATATCATTACTTAATCACATTGGAATCGATAAGCAGAATCAGAATTGATAAAATTTAAACGATACCCAACCCTAGTTATTTTGGTACGTCAATTTAAGCAAAAGTTTAACAAAATTGAGAAATGTTACCGTTTCAGATGATGTATAAATCTCAATTTCGAAAAATTGACCCTTATGACTGGTTTTGTGGTCCAGGGTCACAATTTTCATTTTAAAAATGTATTTTCTAAACGGTGTTTTTTTTCTTCTTCTGTTGTGCAGTCATCTGTGACATCAGCAGAGGGCAGTGTGGAGCTCCATCAGAGAGCCCAGTCTTCTGCAGCAGCACCTGATCAACAGAGCATCTGGTCGGGCACATGAGCAGCACAAACAGGCTCTACTTGCGCAGATCAACACAGACTTGGAGCTTTTACTAACTACGTACCTAACTCTATGGCTGATCTACTGCTGTGAAGTATGGTTTCATGAATTCTGCAAAGCGTAAGGCCCGAAACATATGCAAATGCTGGATGCGAGCGCAAAAGCTTCTACTGTAGCTGTGCAAGCCAGATAATAATTGATAATAATTGTTCAAAATAATGTGATAATTGATACTTTTGATTCATCCTTTTTTTTAATAAAAATGGTTTAAAGGTTGAAATGTTAAGGTTATCATTTTATAAAACATTTTGTTTTTGTGAAAACCTCTATCTGAACTGTAAATCATGCTTTTGCCAGTCATTTTACAGTTTAATATGTTACCATAGTCAGTGCCCTACCCCACATATATGGTATTAAGTTTTGTGCAGGTCTTAAAAAGTCTTACATTTGATTTAAAAAATCCTACAGATACCCGTATAACACCATGTGCATCTTTAAATGAACATACCTCTTCGTGGTTATGCCAAACCCCAAAACTATAGGGTAAAAACTATTTTTAAAAACACTTATCCAATAAATCATGAACAACAGGAAATGTTATGGAGCATCTGAATATTGTTGTGGACAATGAGAACCACCAATCTAAAACCACTCATTTGTTTGTTCATTTTAGATGCACCGTCACTGAAGGATGCCAGAGCGGAGGATGTGAGTCTGTTCCTGAGCCGTTCCTACCCTGTCGATCCCATAATGCCTTGATGCAGAACATGCGTCTCTCGTGGTGGAGAATGCTTGGAGATGAGTTCTCCAGCCCAGAGGAGCCGCCCAGGAAAGACTGACATGGACATTGAGTCACTGTATCTAGGCGGCAACTAACAGACAATGAAACTCAGACTTCATTTGCAATATATCGTTTATATCAGTATGAAAGAATGGTACATCTGAACAGGTTTGATGGCACATTAGGGCTTCCAATATTATTAGAAATAACAGAACAAATACAGTGAAGCTGGAGTCCTTTAGCTACATAAATACTAAAACATTCATTTATGTCCTCTACCAGAATGTTTTATACTTTAAATGTTTCTTATTAAAGGGATAGTTCACCCCCAAAAAAAGAAAATTCTGTCATTATTTTCTCGAATACCAAAAGAAGATATTTTGAAGTACACCACTGGACAAAAAGACACTGAGACATTTCTTTAAAATTTAGAATGACTTGAGGTTAAGTAAATTTTTGGGTGAACTGTCCCTTTAAAGAACTACACAACAATACAAGCACTGTCTTGTACATAAGTTTTTTTTTTTGTTTTGTTTTTTTAAATATCTCAGGTACACTAGCTGTCAGGTTTCAACATTTTTAAAGGCTTAAAATACGGTTTGTCATCACAGACCAAAAATAAGGACTAATATGGAAAAAGTCAGGGTTGGAAAATGAAAAGATAAGTGATCAGGTGATTAAGAAAATAAAATTCAGAACATTTTCTTGGTCCTTTCTGAAGCTGTTTAGACACTGTGTGTGTCTATTTAGGTGTGTGTGCGAGAGAGTCTGCTGCATGCCCATAGTGGCCTAAACTCATGCCAAGGGCCCATTCACTGGACAGCCGTCATTATTTTTTACACTCATGTGAAAACAACAGAGTGGTCCACTCCACCGGCACAATTAAAATAACATTTTCAAGAGCGGAAAAATATGATGTGGGAATAATTGTCTTCTCTTTATGCAACGTTTTAAAACTGCGGGTAAATGAAGCCTGCTTTTGGAGGAAGCAGAGCTGTGTGTGTAGTTGTGTGAATGCGACTGTAATGTGTTTGTGCTTCTGCCTGTGAAAGTGTGAATGCAATGAATGTGTGTGTGTGTGTGTGTGTGTGTGTGTGTGTGTGAGAGAGAGAGAGAAAGAGATTGTGAATGAATGTGTTTGCTATTGTGGAGGTAAAAAAATCCAGGTAAGAGCAAAATCACTGAGCCTGCCAAAACACTAAGTTGTTTCACAAGCCAAAGTA